AAAGGTGCGGCAAAATTGCTAACTCTTTTATGTACTTTTTTAACAAAATACATGAGCATCGTGTAATCTGTGTGTAATATGTCATCCATTACAAACAGTGCATAAAGTCCAACAACCCAGTATAAATTAATCTGAAGGTAATTAAAAATAACGGAAATAAAAAGTATAAATTTTAGGCTAAATAATTATTTAATCATGAAACAATTTTAGGAATACAGAGCTGATTTTTTTCACATGATACATAATAACATTCCTGATAACTTTTATTGTTATGTAATTTCTTGGAAAGCTGATTGTTTCAGAAAAAAAATTTTAGTTTTTTTTTGTTTGGAGAAATAAACATTTTATTTTTTATCTCGAATTGTAGAAAAATGTATTTATTTATTTATTTAAACACTTTATTGTACCACAAGCCACTTTATTGTAACTTACAAATTTTCAGAAACAATTTAAATATTTGTGTACAAAGGCGAGCTTATCCCATAAAGAGATTTCTTCCAACTAACCTTTGAAAATCTGAGAGGAAAGTTGGTTTTTGGGGTGGCACTAAAAATAGATAAGTAAAGAAATGAAATATACTATACTCAATAAATACACAGATAAATTTAATAAATCAAGTGTACATACGAATATATATATATTAAGTAATGTTGATACATTAATACATACAAAGTCTATAATAAATTGAATGTACAAAATAAAACTATAAATAAATATATCAAATGTAAATAAATATTTCAAAAGCTCTAACATGTGAAGTCTGAACAATCCCAAAACTTCAAAAGAGCACCCTTGAAAACCCGAACCGAAGGCGACTGTCTGACCTCGACCGGGAGAAGGTTCCACATTCGGGCAGCATTTACTGTGAACGAGTTCGAATATTTTTAGGAACTGTGTTGTGGAAGGACGAGGGACAAATTGGTGCCAGAACGCAGGCGGTCACCCATAGCCTGTATGTAAAATGTAATGTGTGGTTTATTTACAGTATAAGTCCAATTTAACTTAACTTTTTTATTTATTTTTTATTTAACTGCCTCTGTGGCCGAACGGTTACCATGCCGGACTGCCACGCAGAGGTCCCAGGTTCGATTCCCGGGCCGGGAGAAATATTTGTATGGCCTACATTTATTTCTCTCGTGAGTTTGGGTGTAATTTGTGGTTGTCTATGTGTGTCCATGGCACCCGCAACACAGGGTTTCCCTAGTGCGGGGCTATGTTGAGTGTGTGCGTTATAAAAAAAAAAAAAATCATTCTCTATCAAGAAAAAAACAATCCATCAGCAGGTACTTGCGGCTTTACGAGTAAAAAGATGTCAAAATGTTAGATTTGTTATTTATTAAAAAATAAAACACAATATACTAGTTTCTACTTAACTTTCGTGTTATTGTTATAACGCTCTGTGTAATTTAGCACTAAAATTAAATTTTCTTTAGTCGAAGCTCATGTATTTTGTTAAAAAAGTACATAAAAGAGTTAGCAATTTTGCCGCACCTCTACTTACAAAGCCGCAAGTACATGCAGACGGATTATTTTTTTCTACATAGAAAATGATTGGAACTATACTGTAAGTAACCCACGCACACTACATTTCCGTATATTTTGAGATAAAGAACAAAATGTATATTTCTCCACAAAAAAAAATAATATTTTTTTTCTCTGAAACTATCAACTTTTCAAGAAATCATACAAGAATAAAAGTTGTTAGGAGTGTTATTGTCTATCACATAAAAAAATTAGCTCGATACTCCACAAGTTATTCCTATGTCCAAGAATTATCAATTTGGGCCCACTGTGCGCCACCGCAAACGGATGACAATTTAGACTTCCTTTAGGTTATACTATATTGCTCAGATTTTTATAGATACTTCCAAGTATTCTTTTATTTTGTTTAGGATTAGCGCCATCTAACGATATTCGCAAGCGTTACGTTATTAATTAGTTAACAACGAACAATGCCATCTATTGATACGCATAAATATCGAAGTTCAGAGAATAATTTTAGTTTATTACTAAATATTTGAAAAACATTACAAGAAAAATAGAATATCTACTATATTTCCTATAAAAGATGAGTTAATCGATATCCACGGCCATTTACGTAAATATAAACTAATTCCAGGCTATCGATCAGCGCCATCTAGGAATAAGACGGCATTTTGACCTTTTTCAGAGCTACGATTTTTAATATGGAGATTAGCAGTCCTCTTGAGTTATTGGTCCATGATTATACCTACTCAGGGAACGGCGGGTATTGGGAGTCCGCAGGTAATGAGAGCGGTGTTAAACTGGACTTTCCCAATGCTCGTATTTGTGCAAACGGCACTCCTGTCTTCGTTAACGTTCGACAAGGTTCGAGTCCCGTGGGCGCCCCCGTAGAACCCCGCGTTTAGTCGTATGAGATGATTGTGTGGTTTCAGCGCTTATAAAATTTGCTAAATTTCATCATCCCAGGTAAGCATTAAAATGCATAGATACTACATTGTATTTACACTAGCTATGTCACCATATATATCAAATTTTAGAAGTTATGCTTGAAATAACAAAAACTGAAATGTTTTTACTGTTTTATTCCTTTTTCAATTCGATGTTACGCGGGTAATGAGAGCTATTTTGCTCTCCTTATCTCAATGCAATATTCACGGGATAATCCTTTAACACTGGCTTGTTTATTCTCATTACTTTTTAACTTATATATTTTATTAGTTTAATTTTTTTTTTCAGACTGATTATATATAATGGCTCCCATTTGACATACGGGATTCTTACCGGCTCCCATTTTCCGAACTGTGGGGTAATGAGAGCGAATGACATGTTTTAGTTTTTTCTGTTTTAACCAAATATTTTGTTTTAGCTTCATATTTTTTCTGTGATTATTTAGTACCCAGATATGGGAAGCGTACGTTATGAATGTCCGCTTCCCATATACTAATAAAAATTTATATTGCATAAATAATGACTTTTATTGTTAATTTTTCTTAGTAGGCTCCCATTCCCCCCCGCTCCCCTACAGATTAATTTTAACAAGACCTCTCGTCCTCGTATCAACTTAAAACAATTTGTACCACCCTGTCGATGCCTTATTTTTCCAACGAACCCAATTTAACACGAACCATTACCCAAATTGAATTTTTTCAGTTAATTTGATGAACCGCAAGCCTTGTTTAGTAAATTGATACTGCATTATCATGTAGACATGCCTTAGCTGCGATGCGCCGCGTTTTAGCTGGCGTGCTCAGTCTCGTACCTCGCACCGAGTTCTCTGCACTCTACACGTCTACCTACAAGTACAATTCATGCTATGAGCATGACATGACCTGAAGATTTTTTTCAACATATTATCTGTATCCCCAAAGAGACCCAACGAAGTACGACAGAACTTCGCTAACTAAGCAATCGAGCAAACAAAATTTTATTTCGTCGTTACCATCCCCGGGTTCATGCAAATTATGTATACGTACCAAGCGCATATCATCGAATATAATAGGATTTCGTGACCCTCGCTGCCTGAAATACCGACCCCTCTCACGCTACACTGAAACAGCAAGTGCTTTCAGTAGTCTCTCGCACGGCACGTTTAACTGTCTTCAGAAATAAAATTGAAGTAAAAATTATAATCGCCATGGAATTCCGTAAGTTATTGAACTTATTACGACAGGTATCTACGTTAGGGTTAAACTGTCCTATCATTCCTGATGCGCATATTAATGGTATAAAGATTTTCCAGATGGAAGCAGACGTCGGGAATGATGTTATAACAGCACTGAGGAGTGATCTAGCAGGGCTTCAATACAAGAGAGATAAGTTAATATCGGAGGTGAGCGTGTAGGCAATTTAATTTTATCTCTTATAATTTTCACAAGAGAAAGAAACCATATCTATCCTGTTTACAGAACAGCGATTTGAAAAACCAAATGCTTTCCCGAGACCAAAGAATACTCGAGCAGCAGGTAGAAATCGACCATCTTCGCGAACAAAATGCTCGCCAAAATGCCATTATATCGTCACTCAAAAAGAAAATACAAGACCTTGAAGAAATGCAGCGTAATCTGCAGGCTTCACAGGGCAGGAGCGATCTCACCATGCAAACTCTGCAAAGAGACAATCGCTACTACGAAGAAAAAGTCAAAGATCTGGAGAAGAAACTTCGTTCTTTAGAACTAGAATGTCACAATGAAGAACAACAAAAGGAAAATGCGCGATGCCAATTCCACGATTTAGTGCGACGTCTCTCTGTCGCACTCGATGCTGAATTCTGCGACACTACACACACTCATTCTCCTGAAACACTCATTATAAAAGCTTCTGAACTTGTACAGGAAATAACTAGACTTAAGAATAGATGTATGAATACAACAGAAAACTTGTCTACAATTGAACAAGATTTGAGAAGCTGTAGAGACGCTCTTGAAAGATCCAATACCGATAAAGACATTTTACAAAGACAGCTTTCTACACAACTCTTGGATATCGAGAGATTGAAGCAAGAAAAAGAGTCACTAGGTGTGCAGAACAGGGTTCTGGAACGTGAGTTGCATGAAGCTAGAGAGAAATTATCACTTTGTAATAAGAATTTGACTGTCGTGACGGATAACGTTAATCAAAATGAATCCCTGATAGTGCAACTCAAAGGTAAAACAAATCCACAGTACACTTTAGGTACAATATGTATATGGACTAATCGAAGCTATGTTTCAGAGGATCTGCGCCACCGCGACGAAAAGTATCAAAGACTTCAGACTGAGTTTAGAAATACAATGGAGTCGATAGCGATCCTACTCAGTTTACCATCGCGATTTGTTGAAGCACACGAGAGTACGATTAAAGATAGGATACGGGAAATTTTAAGTGACAACAAGGACAAATCTGCGGTAAGTTATTCCGAGAATATTAAGACGCTACGGAAAGATACGATGTCATTTTGTTACATATTGCATCATATTATAGGAAGGACCTATGCGTGGCCGCAATGCGTAGCCGACATTTTGTTTTTGAGTGATAAACAGATATTTACATTGTATAATTTTTTTTTGTAGCAAATTGAAGGGCTGCGTGACAAGTTAAGCATGGAAGCCCAGCAGCTGTCTCGCGCGGCCCACTTACATGACCAAGCTACTACTCGCGTCAGGATACTTGAAGACGAAAGAAACATTCTCGAGGCTAAGGTCCACAAGCTGGAGGCAGAGCTCAATAGTGCTGAAATTACCCGTGATTCGCTGCGAAAGGATAAGGCAAACGTATGTATTCTGCTTCAAGCCTTTAGGAATGACGAATCCGAAAGAATTGTCTATTCGGAAAATCGACCAAATGAGCAAAAGAGTAAAATTTTAGTGAAAATAACTGCTTTTTTATTACTTAAATATTTAATATAATATTTTTAATGTTATCATTAAGTGTGTTATTGTGTAATCATTAAATAATGTTTCACGATACGATACTCGAATATTAAATATTATTGCACGATAAAAAATCAATAATAAGTACCTTAAATAATAAATATTGCCACGGATATGCGGTAGTGAACACTAGTAGTGCGTGTCAGTACTGGCATTCCTATCAGATATTAATTAACATTCAGTTCAGCTATTAAAGAAACGACCTCATCACATCTCATGTCCCCTAAGAGGCCAACTAACATTGGTTCTTTGTGTACGTACTTATTTTTGATGCTAACAAAAACGTGAATTGGCATTATAACCATAGCATACTGAGGGTCGTATTCCAGAACTCTACTCAATACTCAAGTCAGGACTTGAGTATTGCAGTGAGCACTGAAAATCATATTCAAGTCCTTGCCATTAGGGTCGTATTTCCAGTGCTTGAAATCATACTCAAGTCCGCTCAAATCCTGACTCGAGCATTGAGTAGAGTTCTAGAATACGACTCTCAGACAAGTATGATAACTCCATACAAACGTAGCAGCGCGGCTTTATTATGCGAATGTGTATGTCCGTACACGGCGCGCAGCAGACGTGCATACATCAAGCAGTATTATAATATGAAGTGAGATTGTTGCTTTAAGGGTGCGTACAGTACAGACCTGGCGAATGTGCGCAAATGTGCTTGTTTGCGAAAGGTTTGCGAGCTTCATCTGTTCGCGTGTCGTTCACGCGCTTCGATATTAACATGAATTTAACTGACAGCACGCATGCAGTGGGCGTGTAGCGCGCGCGCAGCGCACATGATGCTTGTTCGCGGCGCATTCGTCAGATCAGTACGCACCCTAATAGCTGTACTAAAGTTAATATCTGATATATTCAATCAACTGTACACCTACCTTTACTACCTTTTTTACCTAATTATTGAAATTAATCTCTGTAGTGATAAATGTAAAATCAATCGAAACAAATATTTTAGTATACTTCTACATTCCACACATGTTAGCTAACACGGACGTTAATGCGAACTTATTGTTACAGTTTGTGGCATTCCTTGAGCGATTGAGCAGAACGCTAAATATGGATGAGCTGACCCATGACATCGGTATTGAGCTGCACACAGACTCGATAATCCATCGCGCAGAACAATTGGCTCGACTCGAGAGCGATAAAATCGTTGACAAGGTCAGTTTTATAAAGTTCTGACAATTTTAAAGGAATGAAAATATCGTGTATTATATTACAGTTAAGCTTAAAACACAATTATTATTTTAATTCCACTTGTTAACGGGGTTTAATTTCAAAAAGTTCGATTCTTTCTCATAAAATATTTAAACTGTTTTTAAATGTGCTTTATTATTTTATAAGTATCTAATTTATTCATAGTAAATTAAAAAAAGATAACATAGTGCCAGTTTCATAGAAATTGTACATATACTTAAATAATTAAAGAAAAACCGACTTCAAATACCTTACGTTGTGATCAAACATCGGATTTTACTAGTTAGAATTATGTTATCTAATAAGACAAAATATTGCTTGCTACCGATTGTCATATTTCTATAAACTGTAATAACATCATGACTATATATGTATCTATTATGTAAAATTATAAACCACCTGATTTTATAATAATATAAAAATTTGCTTTACTATTATTGAAATTCAAAAACATTCATTTGATAAACAGTACTCAAACGGTATCGTATATGCTACGAGTATGTACAGTTCTGCTTTTGTATTTTGTATGTGTTAACGAGTGTGTGTTTTGCATAGCTGCTATATTACGGATACTACGGTACCCTTCCAAGACTCCGCAGAGAAAGATCTTTCCATGATTTGCCTTATCTCAAAGAAGTAAGACATTTGCATGGCATTTTTTTCGACATAGCAAACTCCTGTTGATTACCGTAAATACGCTACAAAGGTTTTGAACACCCTGATAATAATTTATAAAAACATTAAAGAATGATAGTACCTGCTAATATGAATGACTTTTTTTTTTATACTGGTGACAACACGAACAAATCGTGCACCTGGTGATAAGCAACACGCCTGACCATAACAGTTGCAGTGCCACTCAGAGCTTTAAATCAAACATCTGAGGGGTACTGCCACTGTACCCGTCACCCAAAGACATAAGTTGACAAATCCCATGTGCCTGTAATTTCACCAGCACCCTTAAGGACTAACTACATACATCAGGGCCGTGTATGGGACGTCTACGGTCCGATTTGCTCAGGGGCTCAAAAAAATATCTCTGCGTATATTTTGTATGAACACGTTGACGGTTCCCGGACATGTCCGAGCCGGCGCCGGGACGCGCCCGGAATTCACGTCACGGGCACGGTCCTGATATGTGTGGATAGTCCTTTACCCTTCAAAACATAAACACAGTAAGCAAAGCTCACATTACATTCTGCTTGACGGCAGAAATAGGTAAGGTGGCAATACTTCCCTGGACGAACTCTTTCACAAGAAGCTCTATTGCTACGAAAAAGATATTTCTCTTAAAGTGCAATAAACAAACTATTCTATACAATATGTTCATATCTTCTGGGCCAAAATATATAGGTCAACAATGTTGAAGTTGTTAGTATTGACGGTACTATCATCCTTTTAATTATCTCTGAATTAAATTCCATACTTTCACTAAATGAGACAAAAGAGCATGGTGTAAGCTGATAGATGATTAGTGCACTCATTAAAACCGTCGTTCCAGCTCAATGTTAAATCGCATAGTTTTTTTTAAAGACCCTTTAATGCTGTTAAGGTTAATATCACACTGCTCGACAATGTCGGTTATTTTGCCGATATGACGAAGTTTCGTATTAGATCGCTTTCGTATCTTTGATGTTGCAATTGCATTTAAAATAATCGTGCTTTTAATTGGCAAAATAGCAAACACTAAAGTGATCTTGACCCTTAGGGACCCTTAAATTTATCAATGTATATATTATGCTATTCCGATTGAAATAAGATATAAATTCTAATGCTCTAAGACTGACCTCGGAGCATCACGTGGCATTTCTCTCTGCATCTCAGAGCATTGAAATTTATACCTTATTTGCAATAGTAATAGCATAAAATATACATTGATTAATTTAATGTCTTCTACCTTGCCGTCAGCCGTATGCGTTGGCCCTTAGTAAACGTTCTTAGATATGACGATGACGTCTCGATCTTCCGACGTAATGGAATGACAACCATCTACAGCAATTGTACTTCCCACAAATTAATGCAACCGCTGGTCGACCTTCGTTAAGGATAGCATTTTGCGCCAGTCGTTCGCACTTGTACGCAAATCTGCACTGCAACGAAAATACGTCACGTATTTAATTTTACTTGACATTAATAGATTGGACTTTTAACACTTATCATTAAATAGAAATATTGTTATGAGTAAATAATACATAGTTACTCTATATAATCGCACGCATTCTCTGCAACTTAATGACTTGAGTAGAAAAATATTTCGTGTAACTCTTGTGTTTCTTGCGGTGTACCTATTTGTGTAGGGGGTACCGTTTTTAGTTACCAAGACATATGTGAACGTAATTAGTATTTATTTCATGTTGTTCTCAGTTTGATATGTACTCCGGCCTTAGTCATAAGTAGTAAAACGTATAGTAAAAAAGGATTGTTTTACAGACAGCGGTTGTATATCAGCTACAGCGACGTATTAGGATTCTTCGGGAACAACTGCAGAGGAAAGATTTGCATCTTGATCTTTTGCGACGCAAATTGAGTATTCAAGTAGGTTTTGCGACATGCTTATGTTAATTAAGATTTTCAATACACCCAAACCCAAATTATGATATATAAGCCATGCCATATCTCACTTAACAGCAAATTTGGACGTTGTGTGAATAACGTGCATGAGGGTACAATTTTCGACAAAGCATTTTCAAAGTTCGTATACCTTTAACTGTGGTTCACCTCGTTTTGCATTAATACAAATCTAGCCGTTGTATTCTTAAAATTATTTTAGTACCTAAATCGTCACCTTCTTTTGGTATCAAAGGATTGGAAGACTCAGGCCATCATTGGCGGAAAAGAACTTAGAATCTTGTGCTTGCAAGGATTTATCACAGCTAATCAGTTATGGAAAGATTAAGAAAAAACATGAGGTTAATCTATAAGTTTCGTAAAATAGGAGGAGAGTTCCCGCGTACGTGCTGTACTGCAAGCTGAGCGCGACGAAGCGGTCGCGCGCAGCAAGAAGCTAGCACGACAATGCGACAAACTTGCCGCGCAGCTTAGCGACGCGCGGGCGCAGATACGCGAGCTCAATGCTCAACTCGCTGACGCAGCGGATTATAAGGTATCTTAAATTTAGAACGTTTTTTAACTGCCGCTTTGCCGAAAAGACCCAATAGGAGAGAACGAGGAAACCTCGGCTTAACAGAAATTTGACAACGATAACACAAAATATTAAATAAGCAGTGCGGCCTATACCCTACAGAAAGATAACTTACTAAACAAAGCTGGGTAGTGTTCCAAATAGATGCGACTGCATAGCAGCTTAGATAGCTGTTTTTATTGATGGTTATAAACAACTTCAGCAAAAAAAAATGTTTTTTTCGGTATTTTCATTATCGTTAGTTTCAACGTTACATCACTAATGTATATCAACTATTCGACTAAGGGTGAGGCTAGACGAGCGTAATTTAGTGAGTTGTGAGTTGCGTTTTTTGACTTGCGCAGTTTGCGCTCGACCGAAATTCGGTTGGAGCGCCAGGCGAACGTATTTTATTCAGTTGCTTTTAAGCGTTTATACGGGGTGTTTGTGTCGTAATAGTATAATGGATCCATTAAAAATAGTATGCACTTATAAAGCATTAGAAGACGATGTTAGAAAAGGACGCTAGGTACATCCACACAATATGAAACGATTAAAGTATGGGCAGTTTCATATATTATATACAAGTTTATGTGAACATCCAGATCAATTTGTTAAGTACTATCACAGGCCAATAAAAGTTTTTCAAGAATTATTAAGCCTAGTAAAACCTTTTATTACTAAGTCAGATACAAATATTAGACAAGCTATCAGCCCAGAGCAGAGGAAAGACTAATAATAATAATCAAGTAAGTTGTTGAGCTATTTATATTTTAATCTCCGTACAAAACATTTTCGCAAGAAACGTCTATACTCGCGCGCAACCTATACCAAAGTGACCCCTTCTCACCCCTACCTCCACCCGCGCCAGCCCGTCGCACGATGCGACCGAAAATCAGTCGTCATTACGCCAGTGAGTCGGCAAATAACTCATTTTACGTCGTCGTGTGAAACAAACCGTACTTTGCGTACTTTTACGTACAAACTACGCAACTCCAACTACGCGACTCACATCTCACAAAATTACGCTCGTCTGGCCTACACTAAAGTAGTATTAGTAAACACTACGCGCTTATTTTATAGTAGTATTTTTTTTTATTATGGCAACTTTACAAACTCCACAATTTAGTGTTTCTAGGAAAATATGTATCAAAACACATGTAGAAAAAGACCATTATTTGTATTAAATATTGCGCCTAAATTAACATACTTATTCATTTACAAATCTCGAAAGCATCGTTGCTTGATGAATTTCCTGAAATTCCTGTGCTTTTTGTTTTCTGTACATGAATACAAATTAAATTAAAAAGTGAACTACAATGGCGCGAAAGTCGTGTCTTGGTATTTTTTTCTTCAATTGACATTTTTTTAATAATACATAAAACGCTTGACAATACACGAATTATACACGCCTCCCGTTACTCATGTGTCTAAATATCGTTTTACCTTGTTAAGCAATCTCCTGTCAAATACGCAAGATAAATTTATGGTTTCCTGTCCCTTCCCTTACACATTAGTATTGAATTTATAGCTATACTAACCGGTACCCGCGACTTCGTCGTCGTAGAACAAGTAACTTCGAGTAGCCTAATGTACTACATACTTGAGAAATGATTGGTTCTCCATACAAACTTTAATCCCCTTTTTCACCCGCAGGCCACACCGCGAACGAAGCTAGCTAACGTAGCTTAGCTCACGTAGTTGCATGCAAAGTTATGCTAAGAAAATACGCAGTAAGTAGTGACTGAGGGGAGAAGGGCGACATATTTAACATAGCCAGCGGGATCGTTGGGTCAGTTTAGTTAGCTCGGTTAGCTTAGTTCGCGGTGTGAACCGAACTATGAAAAAAGATGACCCCGCTGCGTGAGTTACGCTAAGGTTCAATTTATATTGCGGCGGAAAGGAATGGAAGCGAATTTTTATAACGATATTGTACATAGCTTAATGAACTTTATGATCAATTGTGTAACGTACAAACTAGATACGACCCAAAGTCTTACGCGAGCATTCTCGAGCATGCGCAAGAATTCCGCGGTAGCTTCGCAGGGTGTCTTGCGCATTAAGATTTACTTTTGTGACAAAAATAGTATATTATGTCTTTGTCCTAGATCCCATATTTTATATCTATACTAAATTCATAAAATTTGGTTTAGCGGTTTAGGTGTGCAAACGTAACAGACGGAGTTACAGAGTTATGGGTTATGCCATTGACTTACAATTATATGGACGTCGGGTCCGCGCTAAAAAGTGTCCGCACTTGTAAGGCGCTAAAATCGTATACAGAGCGCGACACTCCGCTTTAGTCTTCATTTGTTCTACGGACAGCGCGATACTGCGATGACATAACAATTTAAATTTCGAATAGGTTGACTTGAGACATTTTTTTCGTGGTTTTTGTATTAGACCCGTCGTCCATTTATTTGTAAGTCAATGGGTTATGCCTATAATTGTAAGTCAATGGATTATGCTCAAATTTTTTGTTATCATATGTACGATCAGCTGATATATGGTAAAACCGTTTTGTTATAACCTGACGTCGTGGTGTTTATAATGTAATTTAATAGCCATTACTCTAGATAAGTTCTAGTACATATCAGAACATTTCATCATACGCTTGTATGGTGAAATGTTCTTGTTAAAAATGCCAAGTCATAACAAAGCGGTGGGTAAATAACGCTCAGTCATCAAAACCGCGTTTTGAGCATGTCAATGGAAAGTTACTGCGTCATCAGAAACACTAGTATCAAGTAAATTGATCTTGTAAACAAATAGACAATGGATGAGATTAATTTTTTTTTTCGTCTTTGTTTAGGCTTCGAAAAAAGGTATTTTTTATTGTGAAATGATACTTTAGGGGCTCTTTCTCTATTTTTTATTTTCGTACAATTCAAATAGGTTGCTTGAACATTTCAAAGTATTGATTTATTTATAATGCAAGTCACAACTATACATGTTCCACTACCTAAGCAAGTACTTATTGCTATGACACCCTGTAGGGGTATGGCACGTAGTCGCTACTTTTTTAGGTTTACATTACTTTACACATTACAAAATATAATAATAAACACAAAAACTTACCTGCAAATTACTGATGTATTTGACAGTGTTCTATGAAGACGTCCATAGAACACTATTTTAAATAGATAAATTGCGTTTTTTGTCTTGTTTGAAAATTGTTTTAAAATTTATAATATGATTCTGGTCATTGTAATGCCATTGAAACTCCACTGAGATTCTATTGCAATTATGATAATATTTGTCAATGGCATATATTTTGCAATGGCAGTTGAGAATCAGTAGCAGTGATGGCATTCATTCATTCAATCAGTAACGATCGATGGAAATTCCTAAAACTATCATGGAAATTACTATACATAGCTTAATTTTTATCTCGTTTAAAGAGAAATTTAGTCTTCAAATTAAATATAATATGTGGTAACCTATCACAAACTCGAATTTATTTTTTCCGAAATAACGTTTGTTGGAATTTCCATTACCCCGAAAACCAAATTATAACGAAATCGTTGTTCTTTCAGGATGTGTTGGATGTTTATCGCAAAGACACGATTAGGTTCGGTTAGATTAGGTTAAGTTAGGTTTAAAAGAAAAAACATTTTGCTTTCAAAATTAGTTTCGAGGTTATGCAAATTCGAGCAAACGTTATTTCTGAAAAATGACATTTCGGACTTCTGACAGGCAACCATATTATATAATATTAGTAGACTACATCACCGACGTGCCTTCTACTCGCCATTAAAGAGCAGAATACCAAAAAATTGCAATGACAGTTGAATAGTAGCTCGATGGCTAACCGCTAACAAGCCACATCTTTTAACAGAATATGAAACGTACAAAATCCAGCCATTGCCACTATCGACACACAACTGAGATGATTTGAATTACGCGAATTGGGGCACTATCTCAATGGATATAGGGACTACACCATGTCAATTACATTAATCAATTTTATGTGTTTTAGAAACAAAATCTTCCAAGTAACATTGGAAATAAATAAAATACACATGCATAACCATAATACAATGTGTTGATTCTTGCCATATTTACATAGGTCATTCTATATCAGAAACTGAACCCGAATCACGAAAAAAATAAATTCCTATTCCTAAATTCTTATTTTTTTTTCATTGCGGTAACCATGCTTGATCCAAAGGTCATTGTCTTGCACTACACGTCACAGGTACCAGCAACCATTTGGACAATGAACTATGCGCAGAAAATATGCATTTTAGATCTATTTGGTGGTAGGGACAGGAATCGAGCGCGTGATTGGTAGATCATCAGTCGACCTGCCTATTGCGTCTACTTTACGCTAACATCGCGCATACGTTCTAGTTTCTCGCAAAATGTCACGTGCTTTGGTATGTAAACAAGAGTTCGTGCAAAAAAAGCTGTGCAGCTAGGTACTTCTAACAATACTTTCATGTACTTAACCTAAAGTTGGTAAGTACCAAATGTGAGTTACAATAAATCTTTTTTCCGTCAACATTCCTAACTAATGTAAATAATTAATAAATTATAACAATACTAGTACATAAAAATAGGTAAATAAGCGATCGAGAAAGATTACGTATCGCTCGGTGAGGCGGGTCACTGTCCTCCGCGGTGAATAACACTTGGGGATAATTTTACAAAACTTTCCTAGATACAATTAGCCAGAATATTGATCAGAAATTTTTTTAATATTTTAAAATTAAATTATTTAGCATTATTTCTATTATTAATTTCTTAAATATGGCGAGAATGCAAATCAACATACTGTATATGCATTAGATACTAGTACAATGAAATGGAGATTTATAAATAAATGTCCATTTATTTATTCTGCTGTACAAAGTAGATTTACTGGAATAATTTACGCGCAAGGTTGAAACGATTAGTCTCATACCTGATGGCGTGATCTCATAGTGGAACAAGAAATGAATAAGCTTTAGGTCTTTGCATTGTCAAAATATGCAAAGTACCCATTATAATAAATAACTATAAGACAGTGAAACTCATAAAAGAATGCCATTCAATCTCTTTTATTCAACTGATATGGCATAAACTACGTAGAAATATAAATTGATGAAAAGAAAGATAATCATAAAAGTAGCCATCAGTCTAGTTTATTCAAAATAAAAAATGTAGGTAACATCTTAAAAACATCAAAAAATATAAAATATAATAAAAAATATAAAATTAGTAATTTACTCAAATTTCACTTTGCATAATCGTATCAATCAATAATGCAATATTGTTTTGGAATGTCTCTTACTAAGTTATTAACTTCCTTTTCTAATGTTTTTTGTTTTTGTAGTAAATTCAACTGAATTTACGGTTAAACGAACGGTCCAGGGAAGTACCTAACCTATTTCTGCCGCCAAGCAGTAATGCGAGCATTACTGCATTTCGGTTTGGAAGGGCAAGGGTGCTGGTGAAATTATAGACACATGGGACTTGCCAACTTATGTCTCAGGGTGAAGGGCTCAGTGGCAGTGCCCCTAAGATCTTTTCATTTTAAATTTCTGAGTAGCATTGCAACTGTTATAGATAGGCGTGTCGCTTGCCACTAGGCGCACGATTTGTTCATCCCGTCACTTGGTATTATAAAAAAAAAAACAATAATAAATGAGTACGAATGCAATATGGCAACATTTAAATATCTATCGAGGTTAATCGTAACTAACGCATGTAGGTATTTGAGTAGAGCTTACAGATATGATAACTTTGTGTATAGGTTAATTAGCTGAATGTTAAATACGCTTTAGGTAGGTAAAATGAGATAAATATTCACATAACGAGTAAAGAAACTTCTTTACTCGTTTCCTCAAAATGACTTTAAATTTTTTAGGAAATGAAACTATTTTTCCGGATTTAAATCGCGTATATTTGTTTTTTCAAACAAACCGACGTTTCGGGCCCTTTACCAGTGAAATATATTATAAGGAAAATGGAAATCCTTATCCTTTTATATACATTTTTAAGACTTTAAAGGTCTAAAATATAGGAATGCATTGGTCTTCATTAAAATAAATTAATAAAATTGAACAAAATCCAGACATTATTTAAAATAAAGAGATTCCATATTACATTCTTGCTTTGTAAACAATAGGAAGTTCGGTAACTTTCATTCGATAACTGTGTTCTAAATAACGTTTGAAACCTTTGCCGGTCGAGAAGTACGAGTAATGGTACGGGTGTGACGTCATTTCGGTTCGGTTTCGAATACAACAAGTAGACGTTCGATTCAGGTGTTGTGAATTAAAATGAAAAGAAATCATACGATATCTAATAATGTAATATAAAATATCTAATCGAATCGGTCGACAACACAGTTATCGTAAGGTTCTGAATCGACCTGCTGGTCTCATAGTCACGGTTTTTTTTTTATTCGGATATTCTTTGTCCACGGATTTAGATCCTAGAACATAGTTTCGTGTTGTATAAAATATTAACTGGTTACTTAAATTATATATAAAATAATAGATAATATCATGAGAAAGTTGCATTTATTTATAAACAATCACATCAAATCTCCCATTACAATTCATCAATAACGTAAATCATTTCCATTATGTAGAGGCTAACAATTTTAAAGAATCGGATAACTCAACGGTGATAAAAACGTCTTATTACACTGGTTATAGTATGTCCAGATATCGCACGTGACAACTAACATAGTATTATCTCAAAATGGCTTTAAGTTATATTAATATTACCTATTTAGTTTTAAAGCGACAGTGTTGGCCTATCACTTTGAAATTAAATCGTATATGAATGACACGTCATTATAGCGAAATTTTGGAGATAAATTATTAATATAACGCAATTTTGAGGTAAAATATAATATAACCCAATTTTTTATATAATACTATGTTAGTTGTGAAGTGCGATATATAGAAACCAGAAAATATGAAGCGAATAAGTTAAATACTTATCGTATTTCCACGACATCACTTTTTTGCAAAGTTATTATGTTTATAATTTTACTGAGTATTGATGAAGGAATAGTAAAACTTTAGTAACTAAGAAATCTATGCATTTCTACAGTGACCGATAGATAACCGTTATATGGGTTTCAGAGCTGTGCATTTTAGCACGTCAAGCGTTCGTATAAGGTTGAATTTACAATGTATGAATTTACAATGTATACTCATAAAAATTTCGGTACCCGACACCGGTTAAAATACATAATATTGTAAATGAATGCATTTTGTACAGCGCCTCTAGCGGTCACAAGATGAAGTACCATTTTGTATACAAATATTTTATGGATCACTAGCGATACCTGTCACGGACAACTTCGGTACAATTCACATATATCTTTAGTAGAAAACGGTAACGTTATGACACAACTTTTGTTACATTTAATTAACTTTTGTTACATTTCACCTTAATTTAAAATCAAAACTAAACATTGTGCTTGTCTCTTATTCCTATCCTTTTTTCTCCTACAGATAACGTCATTAGAACGAGCACGTAAAGTAGAAGAACTTCAAAAGAAATTAGACGAGGCAGAATTATTACGATCGCGGTACAATCGCAAAGTACAGCTATTGAAGGATCAAGTACGGGCGACCGGAGAGACGTTTGAGCAAGAACGAAACAGCAGTGAGCATCAAATCGTAATGCTACGTGACGATCTTGCCAGGACGAAGGAGACTTTGGCGGAGTTTCAGAGAAGGGAGGCACAACTTACAAGTTTTAGGTACCTAATACATACCAACTTTATATTAACTAAAGGACCGTTTACATGGTCTAACTTAACCGGAAATAAATTTGCGTTATGGCGCGCTTACACTAGATCGACAGGTCGGTATTTTGCTCGCTGAAGGCGGCAACCTACACAGTGTACACACTGAGTCGTTTCATTGCTGTAATTGACCGAGTCAACTAGGTGTAATCACGGTCAGGTGATTCGGTCCCCTTCCACAAGCAACGGCCGACCAAATAAGTTTCAATGTGTCAGCGGCTGCGTTTCACAACAATGCGCCGGGGAAAATCTACCAACTCGATCAGATTGTTGAACGTTCCAAACGGTTTGTTATGTATAAAAGGCGATTCGGTGTAAATGAGTCGACTGGGCGTGCTTCGGCAAGGGGAAGTAGTCTGCCGAAGGCGGTAGTTGAGCCTGTGTAAACACGCCATTATACTCGACCGTGCAGGCGCATTTTAAGGCTTCTTTCAGATGACGACAGGTAACGCGCGGTGCGCGCAAGTACTTGCAGAGGACTATAACGCGCGATTATCTGAACAGGTACACCGCCAGTGCCTATAAATCTAAACGCGCGTTTTGGAGTATTTTTTCTGAACGCGGCGGTACTGGACGCTAACACGTGGTGTAGGTACATATGTACGAATGTACGTAAAACGTATGAATATCCAGACGCGTGGTTTGAACACGTGCGCCTAGCCTTAGCAATCACGTGTTCCGCTTACTTTTTTTGGCGTCCTAAGCTCTCAAATTCTATATTAATCAAGTTAGGTGCGCTTAAAACTTTTTTCGGTAACAAATTAAAACGTCGTCACAGTGTGTCGATGTGTTGTTTTCCAGTTTTTTATTTATAAAATTTTGAGTTTTATTACGTACGGTTTTAATTTCCATAATATATTAGCGTATTTATCCAACAATATATGTAAGTGGACTAATAAATAAAAAAAAATTTTGATGAATCATCACGAGGTTACCCACAAGTCACTCTGATCACTCCTCGTAATTAAAGTGCGAAGGTTTCTTACGTATACGCGTAGTAAGGAAATTGGCACAAAATCACTTCTTCAAAATTGTAATCGTTAAACACCTAAGTTGATAAATGGAGTTACTAATCATGATGCAATTTACTCAAAATCAAATTCATTCGCGAGGTCAACCCTATGAATACCAACGAACATCTTTATGTTGTTTACCATGTATAGCAATACAATCAACGAGTGGGAAATAAGCAAAAATCTTTATCTTTTTACGTCTGTCCTGTCACTCAAGGGTTGAAAGATGAATACGGCAAATCAGTCGGACGATGGAACCGAACAATGGATAGCTTGATGCGAATCTCGCATCGCGCTGACACGGTTGATCGATGATCGAAATAAGTACGAGTCAAAGGTACACCACCACGGCGCCTTATTGATTATCATCCTTCCCTATTGCACCTATTGCGTTGTAGGGTTATTACGAACATTGGATTTTAATTATTCAAAAGACTTCAGTTATTTGACTTAAGTATATATATGAAGAATATCGTCGGGGATAGTGCAATTACGCGTAACTAGCATTTGATTATGGGTCTCCATTTCGGTGATTTACCGGAATCTATTGTCATTAGTCCGTAGACAACATAAATTAATGCTTACTGTGCAAAAATGAAAGTCTTAGCCATTGACATAACAAAGTAATAATGTTACCTCTCTCGTGTGAAATTTGGTTTGGTGCAGAATCGCGCTTTTTACCAATACTCCATACGCGGATTTGCACTTTGTTTCTTTGAGGGAAATCTACCTTCAAAATAGGCCAGTGTTAATCAAATAATTTCAACTTAAGATGCTTACATATTTGCTCGATTTTTAACGTTCGTTACACCTGTTGATCGGTAAATATCAAGGCTAAATTCCAACAAATTACTAGGCACCTGCGCCTAATTTCAATTCCTCAGTGTCGATCGACAAAAAATACCTTGTCGATTGTCTGTGGCTTACACATTTACTCAAATTTGTCTGATCACCCGTGTCGATCGTCAAAAATCGGGCTAATCCGTAGGCACCTTTATTCAGTGTTATTTCAAATTTTGATCCCAGACATATAGGATTTTTAAGAACTAATGTCTTCTACCATTAACCTTCTCAATGCTGTCAGTATCAAAGTTATCATTTAGGAATTCAAATTTGACATATGGGTAATTCTTCTGCTCTGCCTTACCTAAGAGTGGTTACACGTAGCTACTTTTAGCAGCGATGCAAGCGCGCGATCGCATCGTTACACTTGCGATTTATAGGCGATGGCATCGATGCAAACGCGCGACTGCATAGATTCAAACGCGTATATCATAGATGCAATCGCCTATAAATCCCAAGTGTAGCGCTGCAATCGCGCGTTTGTATCGATGCACTCGCGGGCTTGCATCGCGTTTGCGTCGCTGTTTAAAATCGCGCGCTTGAGTAGACGATTAGCGACTGCATCGCTGCTAAAAGTCTACCGTGTGTAACCGCTCTAACCCCGGTATCTATTTCATACAGGTATTTACATACTTGCTATGAGTTATAATATAAAAAAAAAATACTTTTATTAGCTGCGTACCATTCTTATACAATTTAACGTCTTCATTAGATCGTTGACCGTTTGTTACAACCCTAACTTATGCCAAATGCATCTGCGATTGTTAAATTGCGAATTTATAATCAACGCTATGAGAAGGTTCAATTTTTGCAAACAATTCATTCGTACATAAAACAGTTGCGATTTATATCTTCATCGTGTCGCGGAGAGAAATAAAACATACTCGGGCGAGAGTTTACGACTGGAAGCCGCAGGCTATTTTTGGTTTAAGTTTTCTTTAAAAGCCTTTAGAGCATATCCGTGGTATAATAAATTAATTTTAATAGCATTAATAAATATTGCCAAGTCTAACCATTTGGTATATTATAATTAGAAACATTTTTTTTGTTCATGAGTTTTTACCTTCTTATCGTATCGATGGCACGCGCTATAATGTTGGCCATCATGGTGACAGGATTTGCCAATCGTACGCCGGACGTACAGGAAGGGAATATTTGCCTAAGCCCCGTTGAAAGTTCATAGGGCACTAAAGAGTTTTCTTAAAATATTATATTACTACAGCCAATTAAACAAATGTGGTGTTCGAGTTAAGTCACAGAAGTGACACTCATTTATGTACATAACTCATTTGAAGCATGCTAATAATACATGTACAAAAAATCAGAATCCTTCGTTGATCATACTACGTGTATTTTAATGGATATTTAATTAAAAATATATGCATTAGTAGCTATTGTAATCAGAATTCAGTTTTAAGTGTAGATACACTGTCTTTTGCTTATTAATTTTAGGGAAACATCAGTTTATAATGTTGACTTGTTACTTATTTAACCGTTACTATGTAATACATACATATTATCGGCTAAATAGCGATCGTAAATCGGTTAAAAATCAATAATTAATAGTGTACGTGGGCGAGCTTATCCCATACAGGGAATCCTTCCAACTAACCTTTGAATAATTGAGTTCCTAAGTCGGCAATAAAAAAAATTAATTAATTAAATGCTACATAATACACAGACAAATTTATTATATCAAATGTATACACGGATACATATACAATTATGTATATATTTATACGTTAGTAAATTATAAGTCCTATAGTAAAATGAATGTATAAAATATAAACTATAAACAAATATAATGAAATTTTAATGAAACAATCGATGTCTTACTTTCTCAACCACGTATCTTAGAGTGATTATTCAGGACATAGCAAAAATTTTTCTTTATTTTAAATTTCTTACCAAGGGTGTTAATTTGGATGCATTGCTTTAAGAATAGGTAAAAGCCAGTGTGTGAATATGAAGTGTGAAAATGTGATGCGAAACAAGCTTGCATATTTTGCTTTTCAGTTACTTTGTGCTTTAAGATACGAGTTTGAGAAAGTAAAGCGAGAGTTTGGGAAAATAAGGCGACGAAATGTCAAATGTAAATAATAGTTATCTTTATACTTATATTTAGCAACTTTCTTTATTTGTTCAGAAACTCGATAGCAAAACTGTTGGGCATCCTAGTGCCTGCGTCGGTCTCTGACTTCGAGATGGTATCACGACTGCAGAAGTTAATCGACGCACATCACGATTTCACGACGGTCTCCCGCCGATATGATGATCCTGCCCTCCTCCGGGCATCTTCCAGATCGCCACCGCCTTCGAGATGCAGAACTAGAACTCCTGATCGGTAATACTTAAATAAGTTTATTTATGAACTTGCAAGTTCCGCCCGTATTTCTTTCTATAAAATTATATCTAAAACATTTTTAGCACCGAAAGAGCTCCTTGTGAAAGAGTTAATCCAGGAAGCACTGGCACCATACCTATTTCTGCCAAACAGTAATGTGACCATTACTGCGTTCCGGTTTTGAAGGGTAAGGTTGTTGGTGAAATTACAGGCACATGGAACTTGTCAACTTAGTTTTAAAGCACTAAGTGGCACTACAACTGTTAACGACAGGTGTGTCGCTTACCACCAGGCCTACGACCTGTTCGTTCCTATAATATTCTTTGTTCTTGCTGACTCCTTTTAACACCCGAATCCCAGTTTATGTCCGTTACAACTAGTATTTAATATAGTTTTATTGTTATAATAAATATTATGAACTATGTCTGAAATTGAGCACATAAATTGTATTGCATACAGCTCTCTTCGTTATGACGACTCCGGGTACGCAGACCCCGCGTTCGACTTGGAGGACGATTTGTACAAGCCCCGGACTGGCATGTGACAGTCTCGACGCCGCGCCCGCTTCTAGACCAACAATAAACTCTTGCCTATAAGCACTCATCTCGTCCTATTACTGCAGAATTCGTTCTGTGACGAGAGTTCTAAAACAAATACGCCAAAAACTTCCTCCACAATAAATAGTTGTATTTATTATATTATTTTGAATCTGCATTCGTACTCTGATGTATATAGTAATTGATCGACTCAACGTTCGAAACTACTAAAAATAATTGAATATTAAAAACTCAACTTTATCCCAAAAAATTTTTACGCCTATTTTTTGTTTCATTGAAAATGATGTTTTTACGCTGAAACAGCGTTTTCTTTTCTTTTCAAATATTGAGATATTTTTAGCGGTATTCGAAAGATCAGATGAATGGCACTACATATATCAAAAGAAGTGTATAAAAAAATACTACTGTCTGTAACTACTTTAAAATATTTTGAAGTAGTCACAGACCTGTGTCTCTAAAGGACCGACTGCATGGCCGAAGTCCACTGAAAGTACTCTCCATGTAGACGGGCCTTTAGCATTCTTTCAAAGTAGCTCTAACTACTACGTTCAATTGTCGCTACGTGTATGAAGTAATTCTAATTATGTCAAATAGCCACTTTTATCTATAACCAAAGTTATGATAGTAGTAGTGATTAAAATAAATTATTTATGGACCGTTTTCAAATAAATTTTATTGATAATTACGTTGGAATAAAGTTGGAAAGCGGCTGTTGATTACGAAGTATAATTTATATTAAAAAATCAAAAGCGGAAAATGGTGTTCATATATTATAATAAAAAAGTTTACTGTACTGTTTTGATATTAATAACAGCACAAAAAATAAACTAGCGATGCCTTGTTGTAATATAATAGACAAGCTTTAATTTATTTGCTTATTTTTATAATAGCAATTTTTTCTGTTCAAACGTCTTCCTTTTATGTATAATATTTTTTTTGTGATATTTTTATCAGGCTGTTTTTTTATTATATAATATACATACATTAAATGTAGTAAGCATTAGCTCCTAGAATGATCTCAAATTTAAATGTACAAATGTGACTGAAACAAAAAAACGTAAATATGCACTTACAGTACAAAATTGTAGCGATAGCGATAAATATGTAGTCGTATATCATAATTAATTCATTTTTAGTACTTGATGATGATGACCTCGTTGGTAGCGTGCTTGCCTCCTATATAGGAGGTTCAGGGTTCGATTTCCATCGGGGGATAGTTTACTTACTTGTTTTAACTATGAAAGCAAACACCATGAGGAAATTCAGATTTTAGAAAAGGTTCACGTATCATTTCTTAGACATGTAACAATCGGGAAGGTAATGTAATATGGCCTAAACAGTCTTATAGCAATAAAACGTATATTTGTCTTTTATTTGTTTTGTTTTATTTGTTTGATTATGTTTGATAATTATATTATATGATATTCTTGGTTCTACCCTTTTCATCGCATACATTAATGACCTATGCCAACTACAGCTTCCAAACTGCAGGATCATCACCTATGCTGATGACACAGCCTTATTAATACATGGGAAGAGGTGCGTGTACTGGCAGAGAACGCTCTAACTGCGGTAATGAGATGGCTGTCCTCCAATTTACTCACCATCAACTTGTCAAAAACCTTTTTTCTTCCATTCGTGCTCAAACAAACTTCAGTCCCACCCCCTAATGCATTTTTTATAAAGGCCCATACTTGCGTAACTCCAAGTCATAATTGTACCTGTCCTTACACTACAGCCACTAAGGAAGTTAAATATCTCGGTGTAACTATTGATCAAACCCTCAGTTGGCGCAATCACATAAATTCTTTGACTACACGACTTCGTAAACTGATCTGTTTTTAAAAACCTCCGGCAAGTAGTTGATGCTGACACCCTCCACATGACTTATTCTGCCCTATGTGTGTCCTTGCTTACTTACTGTCTTACGGTTTGGGGTGGTGCGGCAAAAACTATTATGCTTAAACTGGAAAGAGCTCAGAGGTCAGTCTTAAAGGTTATGTTTAAAAAGCCTTATCGGTACCCAACTTCTCTATTATACGACGACTCCTCAGTTCTATCAGTAAGGCAGCTATACGTACTACAGTTGATCTTACAGAAACATATGCTATTAAAATATGACCCTACATACCTTCGCATACGTATATGCAATTATGTATGCCCTTACAGGCATCATAGGACTACTTTGGCTGGAAGGCACTTCCATGTTCTCAGTGCTCGTCTATGTAACTTCATTAACAGTAAAATAAATATATATTCTCTTTCCCGTTACGAAGTCAAGAAAAAATTGACAACTTTGTTAAAATGCCATGATTATGATGCCACAGAGGCGATGTTATTGTAATCTCACAAATTTTATTTAAGTGAATAATGAAACAATTAGGTTGTGTACCTCCATCTAAACTTTTTTGGTATCCGACTCTCCTAATGTTAAGACCTTATATGCATCCAGAAGCAACAATTATAACGCACCCTCAGATATGTCACACACATACACTGATTGTTGAATCAGTATCACTCACAACACTCTACACTTACTCTCCACTTTCTTGATACACACTGCGACTTATTTATCTAACATAGTTTAAGTCTTCTATAAACTATACTAATTCTTTGAACATCTTTCTCATATTTTATTCTTTTCTAGGTCCCAAATGAACAGTTTTTTGTACTGGTTTTGGGACTACAGAGTTCCTTTTAGTTTACCTGTAAGCCATTTGCTGATAAAAATTCGATTGATGCTTGCCCGCCGTGGCGTCAACGGTACTGTCTGCTAACACAGGTTAAATCCTTTTGTGGAGTCTGGATGTTGCCTGTCTGGTTGGCAATCAATCAATAACTAATAATTAATGTATTATTGCTATACTATTTGTAATGGCTATCAATATAGTTATTATTATTATTATTATTTACATTTGTCTGACCTGTCGTGTAGTGATGCGTCAAAACGGTATTGGTTTCATACACAACACAAGCCGTCACGTCAAATCGCGACACACAATATAAATATAACCATATTAAAAGTATGAAACCAATACCGTTCTGACGCGTCACGACACGACACGTCAGACAAATGTAAATCTAGCTCAAACACGGTCAGCGTCAAAAATATCACCTGTCCGACGACATTGATGACAATCTACCTGCAAATTAACGTCTCGCGTGCTTTGGTTGACATCTAACAACATTTGAAAAAAAAAACTCTTTAAACTAATTGTAAGAATAATTTTTATCAGTATAGATCATTATGTCACTGTACCTGACGAATGTTAACAGACAAGTCAAAACTGACAGATTGTACTTTAGTATTTAGTAAAGTGGCGGCGATCAAGCGTACCTATTAGTATTCTCGCGTTCACTCAGTTTAAAAGACAATGTCAAGTATGAAGCTTCATTCGCATCATGCGTCTTTTAATTTGTAATTGTAATTTTTGTAAGAAATGTGGAAAATAAATAAATTCATTTAATTATTATGTCTATTATAATTTGGTCGAGTATTGCTTATTTGGCGGTAATTGTTTCGGACAGATGTCGGATGCACACCGAGTGCTACATGAGCTAGCGCCGGCGTTGCCTCCACTCCTTTCTGTTGAATACCATACAGTGACCGATGCGGAGGGAACGTCTGCAGTTTATGTCACGTCGACACAAACTACATGTTACAAAATAGTTTTAGTAGCAGTAGAGCTCCTTGTGAAAGAGTTCGTCCAGGGAAGTACTGCCACCTTATCTATTTCTACCGCCAAGCATTAATTGCAGTATTACTGTGTTCCGGTTTTGAAGAGTAAGGGTGCTGGTGAAATTACAGGCACATGGGACTTGTTAACTTCTGTTTCATAGTGACGGGCGCAGTGGCAGTGCTTCTTAGATCTTTGCTATTTAAAGCTCTGAGTGGCACTGCAACTGTTATGGACAGGCGTGTAGCTTACCATCAGGTGCACTTGTTCGTCCCGTCACTTGATATTATAAAAAATAAAGTACGCAGAACGCATTGATGGCAGAAAACGTGCAACGAAAAACGCACCAAACAAATTTTATTTTTCCCATCGTACTTAGTTAGCGCCACTCTCTATACCGGGTGTAACAGAAAGGTGTGGTCATATTAAAGGACCCAAATGTACACTTGATTTAGACCCTGTGTGCAAAATATCAAATAAAAATAAGTGACTTTTAATGTTGATATAAGTTTAATTATGTTTGTATAAATAGTGATTGTCCGAAACAACCACTGCGTCACAACTCTATTGCTAGCTACGTTACTACGACTTCACAAATTCATTCATGAAACCTGGGCGGGGCGAAAGAACAGCTGACTACAATTGAAATGCCATTGTAAAAACATGATTTCAATATGTTGATAATACGTTAATATTAAGTAACAAAATCTTTAAATACCTAGAAAAAATCGAATTATTTCTAATAATATTATTTTATGCCATACCTAGGTACGCGTACGTACTTATTTACATACAATTTAAAAAATATTTATTTACTTATTAAGCCCGTAGTTACGCACGCCTTCATCGTATACACATTCTACATAGTTTAGTATTAATACATTTATTTACGACAATTTTACAATAGTGGATACTTTTTTAATTGGTACTTACCTACTGTTCAATTCATACACGTTTTAATGAATTTCCTACGAATTGTAATTCACTGTTGTACAATGTACGAAATATTGACTTGTTTACGATAATTTTGAATAATAAGTACAATCAATGCACGCACTGCTGGAACATTTCACACATTTACAGGTAAGGTTCAAAATGCCGACCTCCATGCAATATGCATATTTCCGTGCGTCGGTACAGAGACTGCTCTACTCTTTGAAGCATCTGCCGAGTGATTTGACTAAATGCCATTTCGATCCGCTGCCTCATTTCTTCTGCGCTTTCACAGGACTCCGCATAAACAATATTTTTTATATGACCCCATAAAAAAAAATCGAGCGGTGTCAAGTCTGGGGACCGCGCTGGCCAGGGTACAGGACCTCCCCGCCCAATCCACTGCGGGAAACGGTCGTTCAGATGGGAACGTACATTTCGAGCAAAATGTGCGGGTGCTCCATCGTGCTGGAAAGTCATCCTGTGTTCCATCACGAGTCTCACGTATTGTGTCACTGGCAGGGCCATCAGAACGTCATCCAAGTCTTCTGTTAGGAATCTTAAATAATTGGCCCCATTCAGACTTGCCGGCAAAAACACTGGACCGATGACGGCACAACCTATTATACCA